ATCCCAAGAATTTCAAGTACCTTCATCATAAACGGATGTTGAACTTTATCAAGTGCTTTTCCAACATCTGTTGATAAGGTTATATCATTTTTCTTTTTCTTTTTGTTGATATGGTGAATTACAGTACTTGATTTTTGGATGTTGAACTATCCTCATGTCCCTGGAATAAGCCCCACTTGGTCACGGTGTGTTAGCCTTTTGATGTATTGTTGGATTTGGTTTCTAGGAATTTTATTGAGGATTTTTGCATTTGTGTTCATTAGGGAGATTAGTCTGTAGTTTTCTTTTATGTGTGTTGTCTTTATTTGGTTCTGGCATTAGTATATTGTTGACTTCATAAAATATATTTGGTAATATATCTTCTTTCTTGATTTTTGAAAGAGTTTTTGTATGATAGGCACCAGTTTATCTTTGAACATTTGGTAAAACTTGTTTGTGAAACCATCTGGTCCTGGGATTTTATTTTTGGGGAGGGCTTTGATTACTGTTTCAGTTTCTCTGCTTGAATTGGTTTGTTTAGGATTTCTACTTTATTCAGTTTTCATTGCTTGTATAGTTCTAGCAACTTGTCCCATCTCTTCTAGATTGTTGAACTTATTTGCATATAACTGTAATAATCTCTGATTACCCTCTGCATTTCTCTAATTATCCTCTGTTGTAATTTCTCTTCTGTCATTTATTATTATACTTATTTGAGTTTTCTCCCTTTTTTGTTTGTGAACCTGGCTAGAGGCGTGTCTGTTTTATTTGTTTCTTTTTTCTTTTTAAAGATTTATTTATTTATGCAGACAAGAGCTGGGGTGTAGGCCAGAGGTGCAGAGGCTGAGAGGATTCACCAAAGACAGAGTAAGAAGCAGAATAGGCAGATTGACTAAAATACACTGCTGAGGGGAGCAGTGGGCAAGACAGGAGAGGTCTGCTGCACCATGTGGGTCAGCTCCCTGGCAAGGGATCTATCTCATGCTGCAACAGTTGAGGACAGCTTCATAGCTGAAACTTAACCCCTTGCACCACTAGGGAGGCCCTGTTTATTTTTTCAAAGAACCAGCTTTTGGTTTCATTGATTTTTCAGATTGTCCTTTTTTTTTTTCCTATTTCATTTATCTCTGCTTGTATTTTTATTATTTTCTTTCTTCCACTGGCTTTTGGGGGGTTTTGTTATTTTCTTGTGCTTAGAGATAGTAGATTAGGTTATTTGGGGGGGGGTCTTTCTAGTTTCTTGATCCGGGCAAGTATTATTACATAACTTTTATTACTGCTTTTGTTGTGTCTCATGCATTCTGGAAAGTTGTGTTCTCCTTTCATTTGTCTCATTGTATTTTTTAATTTCTTCTTTGATTTTCTTATTGATCCAGTGATCTTTCAATGTCATCTTTCAATACACTTTCCATTTATTGAGGGGTTCCTTGCTTTTTTTTCATAGTTGATTTCTAGCTTGTTGTCTTTATAGACAGAGAAGGTTGTTGGTAAGATTTCGATATTCATGTATGTGTCAATATTTGTGGCCCAGAACATGATCTACCCTGGAAAATGATCTATGTGCACTTCAGAAAAATGTGTATTTGTTTTTGGGGGTGGATGCTTTATCCTATAGATGTCTGTTAGGCCCATATGGCCTGGATCTTTATTTAGGGCTATTGTGTCCTTGTTTATTTTTCTGTCTTGATGATCTGTCTTTTGGTGAGAGTAGGGTGTTGAAATATTTCAACATGTGTATTTTCTCAAATGTTGTTTTCAGAGTTGGTAGTAATTTTCTACATTTTGGGGCTCCTTCATGTAATAAGTATATATTGAGACATTTTTCTTTATGAAACAGTGTGTGCACGAATTCTTAGAGCCTTTAAATGAGTTTTGCAGGGTTACTTACAATGCAGTCTGTCTCTTCCACTCTTCTTATCAACATATTTCTTTCCATACATATGGTTTATTTGTCTTTTTTCAACTTCACCATCCCTGGAACTCAAATCTTTGTGACAAATGGGTTTAGGAAAGGTTCCTACTTCAGCCTACTTGCTTGTTCTCATTGCTATGTACGAGAGATTTATGGATCTTGAAACACTTTGGAAAACTGTCACTCTGGCTTTTTATAAAATCTGCATCCCTAAGCATCCATCATATTTCTGTTGAACTTACTCTATATCAGGCAGTCCTTCCTTATTGGTTGTAGCCCAGGCTTACAGATGTCTCTAGTTAACATTGCAAAAATAATTGTCTGTATTTCATTCCCTATGTAGTTTTGAATTAAATAAGAATAGTTTTCTGAGAGATGGTTTAAAATTCATTTTGTAGTCTACCATTTGAAAAATCAACTTAAGTTTAACTTTCTGCATTATTTCTATGTATTTGGAGAGGGAAAAGTGATAAGGGGTAGAAATATTTCAGTATATCCTCTGTAAACCATCTTGACTAGATTGGGTAATGAGCTTTCAGCAATGATCAGCTCTCCTCAAAGGTTACAAGTTGAACTTCTCTCCAGCCTACATAAATGGGGACTCAAAATCAGTATTAAGTAATATTATAGAAAGTGTATGCAGTATTATTTTCACAATTGAATTTTGGTTTTGTTTATGGTTTTTAGAGATTTATTTATTTGTGCATACAGAACTGGGGTACAGGCCAGAGGTACAGGGGTGTTGAGAGGATCCACCAGAGACAGAGTGGGGAGCAGAACAGGCCGACTGACAAAGTACACTGCTGAGGGGAGCAGCAGGCAGGTCCAGGAGAGGTCTGCCATGCCATGTGGGTCACTTCTGGGGTGGGGTTGAACTCATGCTGAAGTGGCTTTAAATTCTTAGTGTTGTGCTTTAACTCACTGCGCTACCAAGAAGGGCCCTCACAATTGAACTTTTAAACTAAAATTTATCCCCAACACCTAGTAGAGGTGTTAATCACAATTGCTCTCATTCCTGTAGTCCAGGCCCAAGGTCAAGCCTACACATACATGTGGCCTCCTCTCCCTCTTTATGGCCTCAGGTGATTAAAATACAGGTGGGCTTTAGACCTATTCTAAAGAAAGTTCAACTACTGAAGATGTAAGCTAAAGATGATATGGAAAAACCAGATTTTCTTGAAAATTTAACTCTTGAAACAAAGAGAGAACAGGAAGTTGACAGTTGAAGAAAAATTTAAAGATTGGGGCCACCCTAGTGGTGCAAGGGGTTGAGTCTCAATACTAGCAAACTATTTTCAGCCACAGCAACAGGAGTTCCATCCCCAGACAGGAGGCATGGCAGACAGCTCCTGTCTTACCTGCTTCTCCCTTCAGCAATGTATTTCAGTACATCTGCCTGTTCTATCCCTGATTCTTCTCTGTTAAATCCTCTCACCCCCTGCATGTACCCCATTTCTTGTGTGCATAAATAAATAATCTTAAAGATTGTCATGAGGTAGAGTTTGGGACATGAAAAGTTGTGGCATGGTCAGTATCAGGAAGAGGAGCCAAGAAGCTGAATTTTAAACTGAAAACAGAAGAAATACAGGGATGTAGGATAAAGTTAATTACTTAAGAGAACCAAGAATTGCAGAGAAGAAACACATGTGAAGTGTGGCTGTGTTACATTAACCGTATCACTGTCCTTTGACTCCTAGATTCCTTCTGAAAAATACTTTATGCACTTTATTTCACTTAATCCTCATAGGGAACCTATGAGATAAAGGTTTTACCCATTTTTAAAAAAATTAAAACTTAGGTTAAGTTATTTGCCAAGGTCACACAATAATTAAGTGAAAGAGCCTGAATTTTAATTGTTTATCTGATCCTAGTCATTGAGTCTATGTGCTGTTTTTTTTGTGCAATTGAATTTATTAAATGAATCAAATATGTGAGGCAAATAGCTGAAAAATGTCTCACTGTTGTAGAGGGAAACCAAAGGACATTCTGAAATTTCTCTACCTGGAAATCACATCTACCACCAGCCCCTTAGGAAAATCTAACCATAGGGTTTAGACAGAAAATTCAAGTCATGGGTTGACTCTCATCCTTTTATTTATTCATAGTAATTTTTAAGATTTCCTGTGGAATTAACCTTAGGAGGTGAGGTCTCCATTATCAATCTTAGGAGATGAGGCTTGCCCTCATCTGTAGAGGACAAGCCATGTACCACAGCCAATTAATACACAAGAACAAGACACATCATGCTTCATGCATCCTAACATTTTCACACAAGTCAGCAATTTTATAATCTTTCCTTCTAATCAGAGCTTCTCAGAGTTGAGAGATTTTAAGTCATTTAAGTTATCCTTTGCCTGAACATTTGGAACAACAAGAAATTCACTATTATGGAAAAGTGTCTATTTTTATTGACCAGACTTAAAGTAATTAAGAGTGTAGTAAGAATACACTTACTTTTTCCTCCAGAAAATATAAATAATACACAATTCTGGTATTTCAACAACTAACAGAGAAAGTTAAGAACAACTCTTAAGATCTTATGATAGAGGACAATAGAATCTGATCTTAATGATTTATACACACATTAAGTTCGACTTATTATATAATAAGTGGAAATTGATGGAACATAAGAGCTCATGCGTCAAAATTTCTTATTAATGAATTTTAGCAAATTTTTTCAGCTTTCTTGTAGTAAATATTTGTCTGACTAACATTCAAGAATATACAATTTTAGAAGATAACTGAACTTATGGCAACCTTTATTTTTGTTCTGAAAAGATCTTAAAGGACTTTAACAAAAAATGTTTAACTCCAGTGAGAACCAACCCTGCTTCAAGTACATGTGGTAGTATAATGTACTAAGGAAAGCAAATTTTTATATAGCTTTATAATTTAATTTTTCTAAAAAAATTATGGTACGTTTCACTACTTTCTTATCAACCTCTCATCTAAATTCTGAGTTATTCCAAATCCTGGAAAGAGTACAGAAACTATAAAATGCCACAAATTAAATCTTTCCCTGAATTTCTTTTCATGCTCTTAAACCTATACCATCACAGTCCCACCTTGTGATCCAGTTTTCCACTATGTCCTGCAAAAGTGTTCTCACCTCCATGAAGCTCTAGTGTAAGGCCACCAGGGGGCAGAGGCAGGCACTTAGACCCTCTAGTGCACAGCAGGCCTAGGATGAATGCTGACCAGGAGTCCTGTAGATTTGTTAATTTGCTAAGGATGGACTCAAAGCATGACCGGAGAGAGAAAAGAGTTCAGGAGCTAGGGAGAAGAAGGGGTAAGGCCAGAGTGAGGTCTGGCAGATTCCGTGACAGTTTGTCAGTTACTTTGATCATCATTAGCTTAAGAGAAAAAGAACCCTGAAAGGAATAACCTACCTGCCCATCAAATTTTGTGGGGGAAGTCAATTCATTTGAGGTGGTGGTCCAGTCTTAAGGTTCATAAATTCCCATTTCTGGATTAGGGTGTTTATTGAAAGAGGAAATAATCATTATCCTACGCTTATAAGTGTGACACATGAGAAAACTCCTTGCCGGTGCTCATGATCCTATCACAATACTGAGACACAGACAGGCTAGGGGGCTTTAATGGATAGCTATTCTACCTCTCAGAGTTTACATTCCATTGAAACAACCCCAGATTTATCTCTGAGAAAGGAAACCCCAGGCCCTAAGGAAGCAGGATGAGAAAAACTTCATTTCACACAGCTTACTTCAGTAGTTTAAGCTCACTGAGATGCATTCCTAGACTCTGATAAGTGATTATAGAGTGCCATCACAGAAGTTTCTTGATGGTTATTTTTTTTTTGGGGGGGGGGAGGCTTTTGTAATTTCTCTTTCATGCTTCAGCAGCATCTATCATAGATTTCTATCATAGTTTTTATTATACTGTGTCATTTATTTTATTATGTTTTCACATATCTTTTCTTAGAGAAAAGGCCTGTCTTATACATCTTTTTAACTATACAGGCCTACAGCAGTATCAAAGTTTAACAAATATCAGCTAAATGAGCAGACTAGTGAGTGAATTAATGATCCATGCCCAGCAATGTACTTGCACTTTCTCGTCTGGTTGGAATATAGGGCAACTATTTCTGTGGCTCCTATTTATTCAGAGGAAAGGAAGAAAGTGGTTCATTCTCTAAAGGCTTTATTCTCATCAGGGGAGCCTGGCCCTCCCTGGTGGCATAGAGAGTTAAGGCGCAACACTGCAAGCTAACCACAGCTGCTGCAGTGCAAATTCGATCCCAGCAGGCCCGAAGGTGATCCACATGGCCCAGCAGACCTCTCCTGACCTGCACGCTGCTCCTGTCAGCAGTGTACTTTGTTTCAGTCTGCCTGTTCTGCTCCCCACTCTGTCTCTGGTGAAACTTTTCATGGCTCCTGCACCTCTGGCCTATATCCCAGTTCTGTATGCATAAACAAATTTTTTTTAAAAGGGGCGGGGGGTGGAGAAGCCAAGTGGTATCAGTAACCTACTGCCTCTTCTGTTGCATAATCAGTCCCTCTAGCCTTCATTTAGTGGATCAATGTTGCTGCAGAGCCACACCTGGGAACACACACCTTCTTCATACCATTTCACAGCAGGGCATGTGCACTGTAGGAATTTTTTGCCAGCCTAGAGCCAAGGGGACAGGGAAGGACCTGTACTGAATGCTATCCTAATTAATGCCCTGAAACAAGAAAGATTTTTCTCAAAATCAGAAACCTTGAAACTGAACTATGATACTAGAGGTGAAAGAAGAAAACTACATATTTTACTTTTAAAATACTTTATATTAACAAATGCCTAAAACTGTTATAGCTAAAGCTGGAATAACCTGCTGTTCCTAAGCATATTCCTTGTTTAGAATTATCCCATAGGTATATCCCTGCCGGTTGCCCTCAGATCTCAACCCAGCCAGAGTACTAGAGAAGTCCAGGACTGTAGGGCACTGGTTAGTAGGGTTTACAGACAGAGAAGCCTGTGCTTCACTGAGGCTCATTGGTCCTAAGTATCTCTGGGTGGGGGTTGTAGGTGGGGGGAGGGCTGTCAGGAAAGTTCAAGAAAGCCAGTAGATAAGAAATGCTGGGAGTTTGTGTACATTGTGCAAAAGCTACTGCTGCTCCCCGTACTCATTGCAGGAAAACTACTGTTTTAGAGAGAAAGACTGAGCTAATTTATGTTATTAACACTCCCAGGAATTGTCATGCCAGTATGCAGAATTTAATATCAAGTCAGTGGGAACAAATTGGAATAGCTAAAGAAAGGACCAAAAATCTTATCCCTCTTATCAATTTTGTTTTTTATCTTAAAGAGTAACCCGACATTTCTTGGAAGGTGTCCTTAACTTGTGCAGTAGGGATGAATTCAGAAGATAAGAAAGACCAATCTTTACTAAAAGATGGGTGTGATTGCTCTGTTCTCTCTCTCCTAACCCCTTTCTTGAACAGCTTAATTTCAATCTGTGATTGATGGAACCCAGACATATTACACAGCACAAGAAATTTAGATTTCATTCTCTACTGTGTAACCTCAGTGAACATCAGAAAGTGGCAAATGAAAATTACCAGCTTATTTTATTGTGGGGCTAATTTGGTCTAAAGCTGGGTCGGCTTCAAGTGGATAAGTTTGATTGTCTATCTCTCCTGATTCCATTTTTCACTCTGGCTTTATGGACTTCTACTTTTCCAAAAAGGTATCTGAAAGTTAAATCCAAACTGCCACAGATTCCTGTAATTGTCATCTAAAGCCAACAACCATCTCCCAAAAAGCTGCCATTGCTCAAAAGGCATTCACAGTACTACTGTCTGTTCTTAACTGAAACTGTTAGACAAATGAGGGCGTGAGGCTACCCATATAGTACCAAATTCTTCAGACCAAGACTACATTTTCTCTCTTCTTATGCAGTGCATGAAATCCACTTCTATTTTGAGACAAAAATCAACACTGTAATCTTTCCCTTCTAATTTTACCTCCATAATTTTTCTTAAACTTACAAAAAGTATCTTCAGCTTTCCCTGAGATGATGCTGAATCCTTAAGAACCTTTCTCTTAATGCTCTCCTTCAGAGCCTTTAATGGCTCCTTAGTACCTGTAGCATGAAATCTAAACTCTATAACGTAACACACAATGCTTTACTCATGATTTGGCCTTAATCCTCCTTTATAGCTTTAGTTCCCATGTACTAGCCATCCAGTTTATAGACATTAACGTGCCCCATGGCATCTCCCTTCAACTTTAGCTCTTACATTTTGCCTGATACCTGCTACTGCTAGTTATATACTCTGAGTGCCTATGATGTGTGAGATACTTAGTACTGTGCATAAATGTCACTTAATAAATAGCAAGTGTCACCATTGATACCTTCTTGATAATTCTTAAGGAAAAGACTATCTCATGCTTTCACTAAAACAAACTCCTGATTCTTGCTTAGTGTTTATACAACAAATTCCTGATGAACTGAATTGGACAATGAAGTAATAAAAGTCAGAGTTCTTCAACTTGTCTATGTTGATAGCAATTACAACAGTGCCCATAGGGTATGACTAGGTGGGGACATAAAAGAACTATCTGGAGTGATGGGATTATTCTGTATTTTGACTCATTCAGTTATATATTTAAGTCAGTGTGTCTTGATACCATAATATTTATCTCAGTTTTTAAAAGTAGAAACCCCTCTGCTTTTTTCCCTAAAAAATCTCTCATGTCTATGTGAGCTTGGCAGTGTGAGGGAATATGTAGTGGTTTGTGTAGAAAACAGTAGGGTTAAGAGCTTCTGGCAAACTGAAGAGTTTGCCACATGGATTTCCACATGGACAATACATTCCATATGGACAATACATTCTGCTCACATGGACAATACATTCAAAAGGAGAATTTGTAAAAATCACAGTGCATCCAGTTACAAAGGGCAGGCTAAATTGTGAGTGTTCTGTAATTCTCTGCAAAAGAAAAAAGAACTGGCATGGGTGTTTGAGACTGAAGGTAGATGAGGCCTTCCCAACACCTATGACCTAACCAAACTTCGAAGCAGCTGTGGTAATATGGTAATGTGTTTGCTCATAGAGCTCGTGCCAAATTGTTGGATTAACTGCCTGATGTGGTGAAGACCAGGCACACCTAGGTGTGTAAAGCCAGGGTGAAGGCAGCTCCTTCTCGCCTGCTGTGTCAGAGAACACAGAACCATAAGTTTGGATTCCAGCATGTGTAGGCAAGTAGACAAGTTGGACTCAATGGCCATTAGAAGTCCCAGCAGGCCTTGCTACCTGCCTGTATACCCCATTCCACCCTGTTGACTGGGCAGTTGGTCAAAAAGGACTGACTTCCTTATATCAGAGAAAGAAACAACACTCTGCCTAGTCCGTTAACAAAATTTTCACTGCTCGGAACAAGACCCAATACACATACAAGAATAAAGACCCAAAATGCATACAAGAATAAATTTTTATAAGACCCAGTGTAATGGCTGCATAAACAAGAATGAAGTTTCTCTCTCATCAAAGTCCAAATTTATATTGCTGCTCAGGTTTGTAAAACTGTTTGTCAGTCTCCCAGAATCATTCCATCTCAAGGATGTTGCCCTTTTTTATAGCCTCCAAAATGCCCACCTGTAGCCAATTAAAAACTGATTAATTTGAGGATAACCATCTATCTTTGGCAAATTGTGACAACCAAAGGCTAGCCCTACATTGTGAAATCAAGGCAATTAAAAAGCAGTCTCATAGTATATGAGAAATGAAAGATTTTTATATACTCCAAAAAGAATTTTTTTAATCTGGCTTTTTGGGCTAGATCACTGGATGTGAACAATCTATAGTTTACATGGTAAAGTCCAGCCAGGTCTGTCCTGAGCAATACAGCACATATCATATATAAATGCAGTGATAATGATGGGAGCCAATTTTTAAAAACAAACTGGGCAGTTTTTGAGATTATTTTAGGCTAGGATAGAGGCACTGACTAGAGAAGATGTGGCCACATTCTGTAGAGTAGCTGTGTTGCCTATTCAGTCTTCGAAGAGCCATCCATACAAATTAGACACTGGATGTAACCAGGGAGTGTGCAAGTTGAAGTTTCTTCTTCCAGGGAATTATGGTAGGCACTATTGATTACATACATATACATCATTGTCACTCATCAATCCCTCCTTATCACTGTCACCACACAACTGTCAGTTTGGCCTTCAAGTGACCTTGATTCCCCATTGCCAGTTCCTTTCTTCAGTGTCATGGTGAGTTAAGTCAATCACTGCAGGTTCTAGAGATTCAAAATGAGGCCAACTACTTCATCACTTTCCCCAATTTCTATCAGTTCTGCTTCCATGGCCATCTCACAAGTTAGGTATCCTTCCCAGGTGTTCAGAAATCTCAGGCTTGTCTGGAATTCCTGCAACCAAAGCATATAAACTTTTATTCATTTCATTTTTTTGGATCCAGCCTTCAGAGGAATAAGTGATCTGTGCAAAAGTT